ACTTGAGACATAGACAGCAATCAATACATTCTGTACTTGCTAAATAAATGCAGATTGCATTTCTAAATTATTTAAATATATTCATAGACAAGCTTACTGTCTCGAATTTATACCTTTTAAACCTTTAACTTATTTTTAAAGTCAGTATTAATAAATTAATTACATTGTGTTTCAAACAGTAAATTAATCTTCCTGCTCTTAGATGCATTTCATCTACCAATTTACAGATGTAACTGCACATTTATAATAGAAGAGTTTCCACATATTGACCTTGGGCAAAATCTACTTTCATGAAAAGCAAACAGAAAAGACACTTGCAATTGCTGTTGGAACACTGGCAAGCCAATTAGTGCTCTTTAATTTGCAACTGAATTCATCAAAAGTTATTCTTAAATAATAATGACAAAATATCTGTCAAAAAATAAAAATTGTTCCAGTGTTTGGGGATACTGGAGTACGTAATTGCTTTTGAGGTACAATTTGCTCTTCCTATGACATTAAACATAGTCAGCTCTTTTTTTTCCTGACAGCATTAAAATCTCATGAAATTCTTCTCTGCATATAACACTGAAAGACCCACTCTCTCCAAATTTAGGTCTTATCACTTTCATTAGACACTTACCTCAAGATTATTCCCACAACCTAGGCAATTAGACTTCAAGCCATCTGCCAGATTTAGCTCAGCTGCATTCTGATTTGCGAGTAAATACTTGCTAGAGACAAATTCTCAAGGAGTTCAATGCCCATTGCTGATGAGCTCTTTGAACAGAGTGCCAGAGTCAACAAAACAGAGGGAAGCCCTCCAGCCTGTAGGTTTCTAACCATATGGCTATACCCACAAATGATTTCAGACCCCTTCATCACCCATAACAACTCTTTATATTCTTCTCACATAGAAAAAAATATTGCATATTGACAGGTTTATTTTAGGAAAGAAGGTACACTATTTTAAAATCCTGAATTTGAAGTGATCAAATAAAACTTTGGGTGAGTGGGGGAAAAAATACAGCCTCAAAAACTTGATATGATTCCTGACTTTTTGAGTTTGAGAATCTCTTCAGCCTGAGATTTATTCTCCCATCAACTCCAGCATTGGAAGACTATCAAATGTGACTCAGTATTCAACAAGTATTTGTAGATGTGCAGATAGCTGGGCTGACATCTGATTGGAGGGTGGGGGTGTGACGGTTCCAGAACAATTTCATGTTGTGTAAATATTCACAGCATGAATGTACAGCAAGGGCAAGAGAGACTCCACAAGGACATTAAAGCTTCAAGCCCTGGAAAATCGTAGATGGAAGACAAGGAATAAAGAAATTCCAGTAAGCTTTAAGGCAAGAATCATTTGAGATATTTTGAGTGGAGAGGCAACGCTAGATCCATAGGGAAGTTTACAGGAGCTCCTACCTTTCTGTCTGATAACAACAAGACTGAATAAAACTGCAGAGCACTGCAAGGGTGGTTAATCAAAAAAGAAAAAAGGCAGTTGTGCCCCCTGCTCGACCCTGTAAGTACAAAGGCGGTGTGGGTGGAGTGCCACAGGAGCACTTCAGGTGCAGCATTCCTAATGGACACTTAGAACTATGAGAAGTGGGGATTAAGATGTCTTCAAGAATAATAGATTCTAATTTGTCTGTAAGTGGCCTTAGAGCTCCAAGATGAGATTAGAAAGGTAGTCCAGTGCTAGATCTGCAAAACCTTAAAGGGCATGGTAGGAAGCGTGGATGTTATTCATGGTACATTGGGAAGTCACTGCAGGCATTTAGGCAGGAAAGTGGCATTACTCAGTTCCTATGTTATAATTATCTGGCTACTATGTGGGGAATTGATTGAAAGAAAATAAAAGTAGACAGGAAAGATATTACAGAAAGAGATCGTTGTTAGTTTGGACTAGAAAGCTTACGTTGGAGATACAAACACATGGATTTGAGATTCCTTTGGTGTTCAGAATCATAGATGTTTTCCTAGATTAAATGTTGGGGGGGACAATGGTCTTGAGGAAATCCAACATGTTGTAGTGATTCCAGGGTTACTAATTTGAGCAGTCAAGTGGATGGGAGTGTCAATTACCTTGTTGGGGGAAAATAGAGGAGCAGGTTGAGCTGAGGGCAAGGGATAAAAAACTCCGTTTTGAAAGGAGATGCTTGTGAGGCATCCAGGTGGAGATATCAAATAAGTAGTCGCATATACAAGTTGAGGTCTGGACTGGAGCTGTACTTGCCAGCTTCATTGCTTTTGGCTTGAGCTCAGATAAACTTCAAACTAGGACAAGGAGGGAATTAACAATTATTGAGCACCTACCATATGCCAAGCACCCGTTATGTGACAAATATTTTTGTAATAAGCTTTATCCACATTTCTCAACCCCTACTTTCTCCTTGCCTGCCAAAGCACCCTCCCAGTTCAGCCCGACTGGGACCCAACTTAGAGGACCCGGGATCCACTCATTACACAGACTCAGACAGACTTTGGAATCAAATCTTCCCTCCCAGATTCTTAACGAGTCCCTGGAGAGTTACTGCACCTGGATCTGTGTTCAAAGACTCTAAAGACTTGAAAGTGAAGGCTGGATCCTAGGACATTGAAGCTGAGAACTCTAGACCCAAATCACTGTTATGACTCCACCCTTCGTTCACTATATCTCTTGGGACACAACATCCCTTATTTCTTTGTCTGAATTTTAGTATCTGCCTGCTTCATAAAAATGCTTTGAGGATGGAAACCAGCTTCTGAATCACCTGGAGAGCACCTTAAGTAATGCAGATTCCCAGGCTCGACTGACAGGGATTATAATTCATTTTGTCTGGGATGTGTCTCCATCTGTATCACAGGTGATTCTGATGCTGGTCCAGAGTGATCCTTAGACTAGGCATGCTGATTTGCAGAGTGACAGACTGACAATTTTCACCCAGATCATCTGCCTCAATGGTCTCTCCATCACTTAGATCATTATGGCAATTTTAAAAGAAGGCACCAAATTATTTGACACTCTTCCCATTAAGAGGTGGACTCTACGTCCTCTGCCCTTGAATTTGCTAGTTCTCTCAGAATCTGGCTGACATATGTGGGAGGGCCAAGCCACATGGAGTGGCCACAGCAATAGTCTCAGTCTTTGAGTCACGTCAGCCCCAGCACCAGACATGCTGGTGAAGGAAATTGCAGATAATCCCACCCCCAAGGCATTGGGTCACCCCAGACTCCAGATCATCCCAGCTGAAGCCCCAGACATCACAGAACAGAGACAACCTATTCCCACTATTCCCTGTTCTGATTCATGATCCATAAAACCTATGCCCTAATGAAAAGATTGTTGATTTATGCCTCTTAGTTTTGGGGCGTTTTGTCAAGCAGTAACTAAAATCATCACTAACATGTTTTCTCAAGAAATACGTATTAAAATGCAAGCACATTACTTGTATCAGCTCTTTCAGATGAAGATGCACAATCAGTGTATCTAGCAGACAACAAAGCAGGGAAACGAGCCCATGAGATGCTCTCCTGTTTCACTGACAGGAAAACATCGCTGGGAAGAGCAACCTAAGTTGCTTCCAGAAAGCTGGAATTGAAAGACAGCCACACCTTGAAGACAGCATGGCTAAAAGAGAAAGACATGCCTCAGAAGGACAGATGAGGCAGGAGAGCAAAACCCAGTTTCATTTCCTTCAGAACTGTGCTTAGGTCCGGCTCAAAAGTCCCTCCACTCTCTCACTAACTACAAAGGTGATTATTTATGCCAGTTTACAAATGCACTTGCCTAGTGTTTAAAATCACCTGGGAATAATATAGGAACAAGTGCCAAGGGTAATTCTTACCACCAGGCAAGTTTGGGAAATGCTAGGTTATATAATTTTTTAAATTAAATACAAAACAAAATAGCAACTGCACCAACCCTTTCCTCACAAGAGTCACAGTCTTGTGGTGAGAATGGGGTTAATACATGAGCTTCATGTTTGCAAAAAAAGCAGTAGCAAGTTCTGACAGCCTTGAACCTGGAGAATGTAAATCCCAGCTAAGTCTACTTGCAGTGATATGGGGGAAGAAATTGTAGATGATGGAATTCACTCGCTAATCGGATACTATTAATTGTATTAAATATGTTAAATGCAATTATCCTCTATAAGGAATACTTTAATCGACAAAATATAAAATAGGAGGGATGTTAAGTTAAATATTGATGGCCTTATTCAAGCTGTTAATGGTGCCAATAAAAATGATGGAGCAAGACATGGAGCCCGGAATCTCTAGGATTCAGAAAAGAGCAGAGAATGCCGTACTCATGCTATGAATTAATTCTATTTTAGTAACTAACACTGATGTCTACGTTGTTCCTAGTCTGACCACCACCCCCCAACCCCATTGTTCTCAGAAGTGATTTGAATCTGATTTTACATTGTTAATACAAATACTTGAGTTTTCCTTCCAAGAATGCATTTACAGTCTTATAAAGACACTGGAGTGATAAGGGCGGGGGAATTGTTGTCAGTCCTGAATTCCCAATATAACTGCTTATGACTCCGAGGTCTGCCTCATTATCAGGTTTTCATGATACTGGTGTTGATCTTTATCAGTGAGCAGTTTATCAGTCCCCAAACTCCAGTCTCCACAGAGGCTGATAGCAAGTTAGGCCCCTTAGTCTCTGTTCTATTTTATTTCTCTTGCCTCATGAGACCGTTTCATAGTTAATATGGTGGCAATCTGCAGAGTAAAATTGGCATCTCTCTCTGATTCCAAGAGTTTGCATGTATTGTGATGAATAGAATAAAACGACTGTGGAAATAGCATTTGTATTGCTGGATACTGGAATTCCAAGGAGTTCCTGTAACACAGACTTAGAAGCCTGATATCCCTCCTTAGACCAGGAGCTCAGCTTACGTACTTAGTAGAAGAAAGGAGCACGTCATCTCCCCATTATCTTCGGACCTGTTTGACTTTCTGGCCAAGGCTGAGAAGGCCCTGGCTGCTCACTGTCTCTCTGCCTTTTTCTCTTCTCTGCCTCCCAGGGACGTGTCTCATACCAGTGTCACTGCCCTTCCATCCAAAGGCCTGGAGCACCTGAAGGAACTGATAGCAAGAAACACTTGGACTCTTAAGAAACTTCCACTTTCCTTGAGTTTCCTTCACCTTACACGGGCTGACCTTTCTTATCCAAGCCACTGCTGTGCTTTTAAGAATCAGAAGAAAATCAGAGGGTAAGTGGCAGGGACCCAGCATAAGTGGCAAAAGGCCTTGGTGGAAGTGGAATTCATTTCTTTGTTTTGGGGAAGACGCTTCATGGTCTGAAATCCAGGTGGAGAGGAAATCGGAAGCATCCATATGAAACAGGAAATCCACGGGACACAATGACCCCGTGGACCCAAAGTGGGTGCAGCAGAGAAATAAGGTCAATGTTGCTAGATAACTGCAGAGCAGAGAGGAAAATAGATGGCACAGGAGAGAGAAACACACCAGGTCTCACAGAATCTTGTAGAGGTTATGCAGACATGATTTCTGGTTTCCAGGTACAATTCATAATTAGATACTGCGACACATATTACCAGATGCCACAGCCATGAGAACAGACTTATAAACAACACACAGTTGGGTTACCTGATCAGTTTGGGCCTTGCAAATGTCACAGCTCACTGGTTACATGCCTGCGGGCTTTGGAGTCAGCTGGGTTCATACCGCAGCTCTGCCATTTCTCAAGCTATGTTATCCCAAGCCTAGTTTACCCAACCACTCCGAGTCTTTGGGAGTGAAGATCGTAATGCTATCACTCACAGGAGTTTTGAGAAGATTAAATGAGAAACTGAATGGAAAACACTAGAATGGAATGAACTGGAATATTCTAAGATCTTCATTAATATTAACAATGATATATTATGTGCACATCAGGCTGCTTATAAGCCTGCAAAGGAGGAAAGGCCTTCATTTTCTCTTCAGGCTTCCTCCGATTCTTTTACTTTTTCACTTTTACTCTGCATTATTTCCCCCTTTCCCCCGTTGTGTATTGTACAATCTCCTGTTCTCCTAATCCACCTTCATTATGTCTATTCGGTCCCCCTCCTCTATGTATTTACTAATTGACTTTCTAAACGCATAATTGCAGTCAGAAAATATCAGATACCAGGTGTGAGGGCAGAAACTAAAACAGCCATATAAAGAAGGCCAATATGGCAGCCAGGCGTGGTGGCTCATGCCTGTAATTCCAGCACTTCAGGAGTCTGAGGCGGGCTCATCACCTGAGGTTAGGAGTTCAAGGCTAGCCTGGCCAACATGATGAAACCTGTCTCAACTAAAAATGAAAAAAAAAAATAGCTGGGCATGGTGGCAGGTGCCTGTAATACCAGCTACTAGGGAGGCTGAGGCAGGAGAATCACTTGAACCCAGGAGGCAGAGGTTGCAGTGAGCCAAGATCACGCCCCTGTACTCCAGCCTGGGTGACAGAGTGACATTCCGTCACACACACACACACACACACACACACACACACAGCCAATATGGGCATCATAACTGTGCAAAAAGCCAAGAGAGGAGTAGAGGATGGTGATAGTGGACTTGCACTGACATCATGCATCACTGAGGACTGGACCACAGTTGGGTGGGAGGCTAAAGTGGACCTCAGGGGCAGTGTCTGGATTTCTTCTTAGCCTCCAAACAGTTTTGAAGAGGAGTATTTTAACCGGAACCCAAGAGATCAATCAAAATCTGCCCTTCCATCCAAGTTAAAGAATCCCTTTTGCTGTGAGTCTGGTGAGCAAGGAAAAAACTAAATCTTATTTCCACAAGCCTGCCCGTATGGTAGTGTCCATTCATTCATTTGTTAAACAGATACTTACTAAACACCTGTTTGCTTGGCTGTTGTGAATAGGACAGGCAAGAAATCCCTCTTGTATTTTGCTTACTGTCTAGTGGAGGAAGTCAGAAAACAAACAGGCTGGGTGGACACAGTGGTTCACGCCTGTAATCCCAGCACTTTGGGAGGCCAAAATGGGTGGATCACTTGAGGTCAGGAGATTGAGCCCAGCCTGGCCAACATGATGAAACCCTGTATCTACTAAAAATACATAAATTTTTTTTTAAAAATTAATATTGAGTTTGAAACTAAATAATGATGAGTAGAGGCAGCAATGGGTTTTTCAGGCAATGGGAACATAGGGTTCTAGAGCTCTGAATAGGAATAATAATAATAACAATAATATCATATGGCACTCACAAAGCTACAGGTGCTATTATAAGAGCCTTAAAGAGATAAATCCATCAAATCCTTTAACAACCCTATATGAAATAGCCACTCCCATTGTCCCATGTTACGAATGAATTAACCAAGTTTCATGGGCCTTCCCAAGCTAGTCAATAATAGAGACAGGTTCCCACCAAGGTGACTGGCTCCAGCATCCACACTTTATTTATTCATTTATTTATTTACTTATTTATTTATTGGACAGAATCTTGCTCTGTCACCATCCAGGTTAGAGTGCAGTGGCACAATCTCAGCCCACTGCAACCTCCACCTCGCTGGTTCAAGCAATTCTCCTGCCTTAACCTCCCAAGTAGCTGGGATTACAGGCACGCGTCACCATGCCCAGCTAATTTTTGTGTTTTCAGTAGATAGAGTTTCACCATGTTGGCCAGGCTGGTCTCGAACTCCTGACCTCAAGTGATCCTTGGCCTCCCAAAGTGCTGGAATTGAGCCACCATGCCCAGCCAAGTACAGGCCTGAGTCAATATGCCCGGCCACTTTATATTTTTAATCACTCTTCTTGAAGTGGTTGCAGAAGAGAAATAAGACCAATGTCACTAGAACACAGTAGGGGAGGGGAGGTCATAGGAATGATGTAATAGAAACAGGCCTGCCCAGATCCTGTAGAACCTTATAGAATTATATACATCATAGTAAGCAGTGTACATGTTTTTGTAAATGTAGGAATCATTCGTGGATTTTAAGCAACCACTGTTTTTTTTTTTTTTTTTTTTTGGGACAAGGCCTTACTCTGTCACCCAGGCTACAGTGTAGTGGCCCAGTCTCGCCTCATTGCAGCTCTGACCTCCCCATGCTCGGGTGATTTTCCCACCTCATCGCCCCCAAGTAGCTGGTACCACAGGCACATACCACCATGCCTGGCTAATGTCTGCATTTTTCATAGAGATGCGGTTTCACCATGTTTTCCAGGCTGGTCTCAAATTCCTAGGTTCAAGCAATCTACCCACCTTGGCCTCCAACGTGCTGGGATTATATTAATGAGCCACTGTGCCCAGCCAGATACTAACTGTTTTCTGTTGCCTTGCAGAATCCTTGAGTCTTTGATGTGTAATGAGAGCAATATGCAGAGCTTGCGCCAGAGAAAATCTGTGAATGCCTTGAATAGCCCCTTCTACCAGGAATATGAAGATAATCTGGGTGACAGCAGTGTTGGGTACAAGGAAAAGTCCACGCTCCAGGATACTCCTAGCAATGCTCATTATTATGTCTTCTTTGAAGAACAAGAGGATGAGATCATTGGTTTTGGCCAGGAACTCAAAAACCCCCAGGAAGAGACCCTACAAGCTTTTGATAGCCATTATGACTACACCGTGTGTGGGAACAATGAAGACATGGTGTGTACCCCCAAGTCGGATGAGTTCAACCCGTGTGAAGACATAATGGGCTACAGCTTCCTGAGAATTGTGGTGTGGTTTGTTAGTCTGCTGGCTCTCCTGGGCAATGTCTTTGTTCTGCTTATTCTCCTCACCAGCCACTACAAACTGAATGTCCCCCGCTTTCTCATGTGCAACCTGGCCTTTGCAGATTTGTGCATGGGGATGTACCTACTCCTCATCGCCTCTGTAGACCTCTACACTCACTCTGAGTACTACAACCATGCCATTGACTGGCAGACAGGCCCTGGGTGCAACACAGCTGGTTTCTTCACTGTCTTTGCAAGCGAGTTGTCTGTGTATACACTGACGGTCATCACCCTGGAGCGCTGGTATGCCATCACCTTCGCCATGCGCCTGGATCGGAAGATCCGCCTCAGGCATGCATGTGCCATCATGTTCGGGGGCTGGGTTTGCTGCTTTCTTCTTGCCCTGCTCCCTTTGGTGGGAATAAGTAGCTATGCCAAAGTCAGCATCTGCCTGCCCATGGACACGGAGACCCCTCTGGCTCTGGCATATATTGTTTTTGTTCTGACACTCAACATAGTTGCCTTCGTCATTGTCTGCTCCTGTTATGTGAAGATCTACATCACAGTCCGAAATCCGCAGTACAACCCAGGGGACAAAGATACCAAAATTGCCAAGAGGATGGCTGTGTTGATCTTCACTGACTTCATGTGCATGGCCCCAATCTCGTTCTACGCTCTGTCAGCCATTCTGAACAAGCCTCTCATCACTGTTAGCAACTCCAAAATTTTGCTGGTCCTCTTCTATCCACTTAACTCCTGTGCCAATCCATTCCTGTATGCTATTTTCACCAAGGCCTTCCAGAGGGATGTGTTCATCCTACTCAGCAAGTTTGGCATCTGTAAACGCCAGGCTCAGGCATACCGGGGGCAGAGGGTTCCTCCAAAGAATAGCACTGATGTTCAGGTTCCAAAGGTTACCCAGGACATGAGGCAGAGTCTCCCCAACATGCAAGATGTCTACGAACTGCTTGAAAACTCCCATCTAACCCCAAAGAAGCGGGGCCAAATCTCAGAAGAGTATATGCAAACAGTTTTGTAAGTTGACACTACGCTATGCACAATGGTGGGGGAACTTACAAAAGAATCGTTTTTTAAATATGCATTCCAATCCCATGACACCCCTAACACCTAGCTGCCCTCACTGTTGTGCAGGCGATGTTTCAATGTTTCATGGGGCAAGAGTTTAATCTCTGGAGAGTGATTAGTATTAACCTAATCATTGCCTCCAAGAAGGAAGTTAGGCTACCAGAATATTTGAATCCCAGGTGGAATCAAAATAATCTTCTTTCTAGAAGACTTTCTTGATGTTAAGTCCAGAGATGGCATTGTGTAAGATGTTCAGTAAATATTAACTGAGCCATGTCAATATAGAGCTTCTCAGTTTTGTATAGCGTTTCATACTAAAGATTCAGCAAATGGAAATGCTATTAATTTGGTTGGTGACCACAAGATAAAATCAGTCCCATGTGGGCTCAGTTCGACTTGATGTTCTCTGATCCAAAGAGAATTTGATTTTCTTAAAACTGAAAAGCCAAACACAACGAGCTGTCATACAAGCAACAGCTATTATGAGACATGAAGGAGGGAAAGAATTAGCTTTGAGTTTGGTTTTGCTTTATTTGTTTTTTAAATCAACCTATTAATCATCTCTTCTCAAGAATCCACCTGATGTGGTCCAGCTATTAACTGTTGCCTGGAAAAGCTGGCAAGATTTCGGCTTATGTGGCCTAGCAAACTAAGAATTGCTCTTCTTGGCCAGCCTCATAGCATAAAAGATTTGAACTTTAGAAAGTCTTTCTAAGTAGCAATAAGTAGGAATTGTGGGCAGAGCACACTCAATCCCCTGTTGATTAATAAAACAAACTGGACACTAACTATGGTACTTCGGGCAAATCACTTGGCCTCAGAAATCTGTAGAATTGAAGGAGTCCAATAACTTCTTCCAATTTTAAAACTCTAGTATATCCCTTTCCCTTGAAACATGTATTTCTAAGATAAAGAGAAAGAAGAGCACTAAGTAGAATCTGCTTTTCCTGTTTTTTAGGGATGCTGTCTCCTTCTCCTTGGAGCCTAGACATATGACCCTAGAAATTTTTCCTTTGTTTCACTTTTGGTTATAATGTCCGAACCAAAAATTCAACTGAGTGATCATATTCGGCTGGATCTGAATCACTCATTTAATTATTAGATCTACCCAGCTACACTTATTAGGCCAAAAACAGATGTGTGTTTGTAGAAAAGAATAAATGATAGTTACACATTTTGGTTATTTAGAGTTGCTACTTCACTATGAAGAGTCACTTCAAAACACTCTGCTTATCTTTAGGGATGGGTTTTGCCTTTCCAGCCCACAGTATTGTTGTATCCAAGTGAGTTAGAAGGAAAACGCCATGCTCTGAGTTCAAATTCAGGAGTCCTTTTATTGCCGTCAACCGAGAGTCAGCTCACACTCAAAATCTCTCGGCCCTAAGGAAGGGGCCTGATTATGTTTTATACCTTGATTTAGGTAGGGGAGGGGAGTACCTGGCTGAAGTGAAATTTTACAGAAGCAGAAAAGCAGGTTAGAGGAAGAGGCTGCAGGCACAGGTGGTTTCCATACAATTACCAAGGACGGGGGTGACCAGGCTCCTTCTACACAAAGATAAAAGGGAAACTTTTTTCTTACAATAGCATGGGGGAGGTATGCCAAGCAGGACATGGTTACGACGGTTACAGGTGTTAAGAACAGTATGCTTCAATGCCTCTAAGTGCAGCATGACCCAGTTATGCACCCAAGGGGCTGCGGTAAGGAGGGGGAAGCCAGGCTGGAAATTACAGCTAAAATGGAGTCAGTTATGCTAGCCCAGGGTAGGTTATTACAGTGTGATACTAAAGCTGTCAAGAGAGGTTTCTTCTTTTCTGAAACTGCCAGCTCTTTCCAGCCCTGTTGATCACTGGACATAAAACCTCTTTTTCCCAATAATTATTCTTTACCTACAATAGTAAGGATCTTCATCTACAGCTGTACGCTTCAGGTTACCTGTCATGATAGCCCCCTAATGTCCTGCTAGAAAAGTCTCCAAGCAGAGATGACATTACTTCTGAGCGCTCATGAACCACACCATGAAATAAAAGCTCTTTGTTGTTTTAAGTCTGCGGAGTGTGGTTAATGGATCCCCACAGATGGCCCCTGCTGGACTCACCTGGAATCTCTCCCTAGTCATACCCATTCATCGCTATCAATGAGACTTGCACATCTTAACAGAAATATTATGAACATCTGAAATCATGACTGACCTAGAATTTCGCTTGTAACTAATGAAATTAAACAAATGTGTTGCCTTTTGTCGTGTGTCTCTCCTGTGACATTTTGAAATACCACATCTTGATAAATAATGTGTTTCATCTTGAATAGCTGAACTAATGCTTTGGAAACAGAATCCTAGAAAAGTGACTTCAACAGAATTGTTACTAAAATTTGCACTCACGACATGAAATAAATTTTCTTCCTATGAAACAATTGTGCGAAGTCCTAAAGTATTTTTTAATCTGAGTTTCTTTGGGGAGTTAGTATTATATGTGTTAAAACTAAAGACAAGAAAAATAATTGGCAAATTTGCTAACAAATCCATATTAATAAATAAATTGTTTACTGTCAATAATTTAAGTATAACATTGTGTCTTGATCATAAATGGTCTTTACATGAAAAACTTACTCCTGATGAACTGAATTATGATTAATTGACAGCAATCACTGAGAGAAAAAAACAATAAAACCAAATATATCCAGCAAATGATTGGTATTGACACTAGGAATTTAAATGGTGCACTAATGAAGACAATAAACCTTTAAGTCCTGTTCAGAGTTCACGTTATCGAGCACCTTTCAGTTTTCTGAAGATGAACTCAAATCAGTGAGGATAGATGACCACAGGCTAGTCACAAAGGAGGTTACACAATTCATTCCTACAGCTCATGCATGTTTCTCAAAAGAGTGTCTCTTTAAATACTCTCAAAGTTCATTGACTCTTTCTTTAAGGATAATCTACTGCATCAAATAAGCAGCCAATAAGAAGAGGGTACTACCGGGCAGAACCATGAGAGTGGCAATAAGGTAAAAGTGAGGGCAAAAAGAAGAAAACTATAACCATGATTTTTTTTTTTTTTTTTGAGACGGAGTTTTGCTCTTGTTGCTAAGGCTGGAGCGCAATGGCACAATTTCAGCTCACTGCAACCTCTGCCTCCCTAGTTCAAGTGATTTTCCTGCCCCAGCCTCCTAGGTAGGTGGGATTACAGGCAAACACCACCACGCCCAGCTAATTTTGTATTTTCAATAAAGACGGGGTTTCTCCATGTTGGTCAGGCTGGTCTTGAACTCTCAACCTCAGGTGATCTGCCATAAAAGTTTGAGAACAAATGCTCCTACTTTGGGGGAAAAACTGTTTTATAACATAGCTGAGTGATTCTCATTCATTCTGAGTGCCTAGAGGATGCCATAGAAACTTGTTGGCAGCAATGTATTCTGTTTTAAAAGCTACAAAAGTTCCAGCTCCAAGTGGTAGACTGAATCCCAATCTTTCTTTATCAACTTTCTTTCAAATCCCACTGACATGATAGGGGAGAAATTTAAAATGAGATCAAGCCAAAACTGCATGGGAAACAGGAGAAATGGAATCACCAGCAAAGCAAAGATGCTGATAGCTTTCTGAAAGATGGAAGGTCTGTGGCCTTGAGTCGATGGTAACTAGAAGTAGAGGAGGCTGAAGCCTATAACACACTGACAGGATAAGACTGCAGCTGCAGAAGGATGTGCTTCCCTGCAGAGTCCCAGTGAGCCTCTCAAGCCTGAAGGTCACAGGACTGAGGGTTAATTAGGGTGATTAATTGAAAGTGTGTGTCACTTGGACCCTCCCATCTGCCATCACTCCATTCAGCTAGAATAACTGACATATGCAGTGTTTGCTGCAATTAATATCTCAGAGAAAGTGAAATGATTCCTGTAAACAGGGACCCCAGCCCACTGGCCCACTTCCTGCCCTCACACATAGGTAAAGCCTGATTATTGAGGCATTACCATCAGCACCCCCCACTACCCCCACCTGAAGTCAGGGAGAGGCATCTTGGGGAGAAAAGATCTATACAATATGCTGACATTAGCTGTTCTCGTTCTTCAGTCAAAAATATAAACGAGACAAAAAAATTGCCAGGTATTTGAGAGAAATAAACTGCACATCAATAGTGCACGCACACACACACACACACACACATGCACACATGCACACACACTGCACACAAGGCCAGAATGAACAAAAGAACATTTCTCCAGAGAAAAGAGATCATTCGAAAACAGAATATTGTTGTTTAATTCTACTTAATAACATCAGAGAAATCGGAGAGAATATCAGACCCGAAAACAATAAAAAATTACTATTAAGACAATAGTAGTAATCAAAAATAAGAAAGAGTTTTGGCAAATCGTAAATGAAATTGCCAAAGCAAGAGCTTTGCCAAAAGGAGTGGAAGCTAAAGTTGAGGAAATTTCTTGGAATGCTGAACAAGTAACAAAGGTGTGAAATATAAGTCTAAAGTTAAAAGCTGCAGAGGCTCAGTCTCCAAGCCCATCATCTGTCCAAGAGGAGTACTAAAGAAAACGTAGAAGGAACAGAAGGAGAACATTTTCCTAAGCTGGTGAAGATTGACGGAGTCCACTTAGTGTGAAAGGGGATGAATGAAAAGGCACACGTGCAGAATGGTACTTATACAATATCAGAACACAGAAAGTAAAGGGCAAACCTAAAATGCTTGAGGGAAAATCAAGAAAGAAAGGTAGACATTAGAAAAGATATTAATAACTGTATAAACCAGAAGACAATAATAGAGCAACATCTTGACCACTAACAGCCTTCTGTTCACTAGACACCTTACCAATAACATAAACAGTTGATTAACACATATTTTGTATATGTACAATATACTATATTCTTACAATCAAGTGAGTTAGAGAAAAGAAAATATTATTAAGTATATCACAAAGAGAGAAAATATGTTTCCTACTCATTAAGTGGAAGTGGATCATCATAAAGGTTTTCACCCTTATCTTCACACTGAGTAGGCTGAGGAGGAGGAGGACAAGGAGGGCTTGGTCTTGCTGTCTCAAGGGTAGCAGAGGTAGAAAAATATCTGCCTATAAGTAGACCCACACTGTTCAAACCAATATTGTACAAAGGTCAGTTGTAATTTCCTAATCTTCATTATGTGCAGCCAAAAGATATGTCTAATTTATTTATAGTTCAAAAAAAAGTACGTAAGTAGGTAATACAATTACAGTGACTAAAATCAGAAAATGGCTTGAAGTGGTTTTTTCTGGAATTTGGACTAGGGATTGAGTGACATTAGGACGGAGTTATGTCTCCCCTAAATTTAGATGTTGAAGCCCTAATATTGGGAATCCCATATATTGGGAAATATGACTGTATTTGGAGGTAGGGCCTTTAGGAGAGCAATTAAGGTTAAATGATGTCACAAGGGTGGGACTTTAAACCTGTAGAATTATTGTCCTTAAGAGGATTAATACCCCAATTCCCTGATGTAATTACTACACATTGCGCGCTTGCATGAAAATATCACATGTACCCCGTATATATACCTATTATGTACCCATAACAATTGAAAATAAAATTTTTTAAGAAAAGAAAGAAGAGTCCGGGTGTAGTGGCTCACACCAGTAATCCCAGCACTTTGGGAGGCTAAAGTGGGCAGATCACAAGGTTAAAGACCACACCGGCCAACATGATGAAACCCTGTCTCTACTAAAATAAACAAAAAAATTAGGTGGCTCATGCCTGTAATCCCAGCTACTTGGGAGGCTAAGATAGGAGAATTGCTTGAACCAGGACCCAGGAGGCAGAGGTTACAGTGAGCTGAGATTGCACCACTGCACTCCAGCCTGGGCTACAGAGTAAGACTCCATCTCAAAAAAAAAGAAAAAGAAAAAGAAAGAAAGAAGAGCTGTCCCTACACAGCAAGAAGGCAGAGGTCTACAAGTCAAGAAGAGATGTCTCCCCAGAAATCAACCCTCACGGGACATTGATCTTGACCTTCTAAATTCCAAAACTGTAAGAAAATAAATTTCTGTTAAGTTACCCAGTCTGTGGTATTTTGTCATGGCAGCCCAAGCAAACTAAGACAAGTAGAAACTTCAGCTGGCATTCTTCTGTACTGCTGATTTTTGAATATGAAAATACTTTTTAAATATTGGATTAGAAATTATTATATGTTTTTAATAATTAAAATAAAAGATGTGGCATTTAAAGAAATTTGCAGAATGCCTAATTGAGTTATTGAGCTATACTAGGAGAGACAGATATCACAGTGATGTGATTTGAATGCCTCTCTAGCTATTATAAAATGTAGATATTTGCCAAGGCGTGGTGGCTCATGCCTGTAATTCAAGCACTTTGTAGGCCAAGGTGAGCGGATCACCTGAGGTCGGGAGTTCAAGACCAGCCTGACCAACATAGTGAAACCCTGTCTTAAAAAAAATAAAAAATAAAATAAAATTTAGACTTTTTTAGGATGTGATAAATCTAAGCCAGTGAGTTGGGGTTTTGTTTCTCCAAGTTATCGAAGTACAGGTGGGCTCTGCTTACATGCGTAAGTTCTTTAGTGGTGATTTGTGAGATTTTGGTACACCCACCACCCAACCAACTGCATATTTGTAGTCTTTTATCCCCCGCTCCCCTCCCACTGTTCCCCTCCCACTCTTCCCCTCAAGTCCCCAAAATCCATTGTATCACTCATGCGTCTGCATCCTCACAGTTCAGCTCCCACATATCAGTGAGAACAAGTGATGTTTGGCTTTCCATTCCTGAGTCACATCACTTAGAATAAGACTCTCCAATCCCATCCAGTCACTGCAAATGCTGTTAATTCATTCCTTTTTATGGCTGCATAGTATTCTGTCATATATACGTATACCACAGTTTCTTTATCCACTCATCAGTTTGGTTTGTTTCCACGATTTTGCAAATTTGAATCATGCTTAAGCCAGTGAGTTTTAAAGTGCCTATCTTGTAGCAACAGCTGCTAAGCTGAACACTGAGAAGGTGAAACCCCTATATAATTTATTCCATTGGACAGCATAATCCTATTCCATCAGAATTCTTGTTTCCCATAAATGCATAGCTATAAGTTGCATAAGGAAAATTAAGCAACTGATTGTTGTTCTTCATATGAATTTAATAAGTAAAAAGCTTTCAACAGAATAGAGAAAAAGTTGTTTCTATAAGCAACTTCAAATCTGTCACCCTCAATCATTTAATATAATTTTGAAATTTCCCCTGGGAATTAAGGAATCTTCTGGAGTATTCTGTTTTATTTGTTGAAATATTTTAGATGGAGAGGGTTTAAGAAGGTAATAACCATCATTATTTCACAACACACAATAAAAGTATATATATATATGTTCTTTAGTGATTTGTGAGATTTATATATATACACATATATAACTCGATATATATACACAT